GTGAAAATGAAAAATTCTCTACAAATGGTCTAGGAGGTCATTGTGGGAAGGTCATTTCGCAGGGTCCATTGGGGGTATTACGGGGTATTGCGCGCGTATTACAGAGTATTACGGGGTATTACAGGGTATTACAGCGTATTACAGGGTATTACAGTGTATTACAGGGTATCACAGCGTATTACAGGGCAGCTTGTACAGGGTATTACGCGAGTGGTTACCCCCTCGGTAGGAGGAGTATTGGTGTAGCGGCAGTGGAAGGGCCTTCTTCAGCTCCTTCACGCTGACTCCTGGCACAACCAAGTCAGGTTTAGCTGCCACGCTCACGACCTCTTCGCTGTCTTCGAGCAGTTGTCTTCCGGCTGGGCTCGCTGCACTGCCTCCACACCAAGAGAAAAAGGGTTTCTTGATTTTTGATTTTCTTGTTTTTTTGTAAGAAAAAAAAATCTTGACACAAGAAAAATTTTTCTTCATTTAAGGAAAACATTGGATTAAGAAAAAATTTCTAGATAAAACCAAGAAAAGTTAATTCAAGAAGTCATTTTTTTGGGGGGGTGCATGGGGGGTGCTTTGGTCTCAGTTCGTAGAAGGGGACAGTGAACGTGCCCCTCAAGCAGGTGGGTGGTTTGCATCGAAACGTAAATCTTTTGTCCCTCTTTGTTTCTGGCTCCGTACATCCACGGAAGAGTTTTTTTTTACTCCGGTTTCAGTGCTCCTCATATGTTGGTGACTTCTCAAACTTCCACACGAAAACAGCAACACTTTAAGCTGCTCCTTGGGAGACAGACACTAAGTTTCCAAGAGGCAAGAGTTCCAAAAGCAAAAGAGGAGAAAAGCAATAAAATACATGAACAAGAGTCTTTAATTTTACTTCCACAGGGTTCTGTAAAAATCATAAACATTCCATGCCTTTAATGGCGGCATCTGGCACTGAGGATACAGCATTTGTTGACTTTGTTTTCATAGCATCACTCTGAGCGTTGCCAGCAGCTGCTTCCTTGGAGTTGGGCTCTGTGTTCCCAAGCTAAAAACAAAAGAAAGGAAAAGCATGAAAAAACACATCATTTACAAGTATTTTTAAATTTACTGGTACACGGCTCAATTGCAATCATCAAGAACCTATAAAGCCCCAATCCGACTGACTCACTCACTGACTCACTGACTCACTGACTCACTCACTCATAGAAATGTTTGGGGTGAAGGAGTGGTCGTAGAGACTTGCGGTTTTTTCCATTCGATTCCAAATTTTATGGGAAAATTGGGAAAAATCCCAAAAGTTGAAAATTCCTCACCGTTTCCGAGAAAACCTACTTTATCTACAAAAAAGGGGAACAAATTTCTCACCGTTTCCGAGCAAACCTACTCAATCTTCAAAAAAGGGGACCGACCGACTAAAAATTTTTATTCGCCCCATCGGTAGGTCTGGTCGAGACATTTCCGAAACTGTGCCGCAATCGGGTCCCCGTCACCGGCAACATCCTCAAAAACGATTAAATAGGCCTAAATTCAACAAAATCCACTCAATCTTCAAAAAAGGGGACCGACCCACTAAAAATTTTTATTCGCCCCATCGGTAGGTCTGGTCGAGACATTTCCGAAACTGTGCCGCAATCGGGTCTCCGTCACTGGCAACATCCTCAAAAAACGATTAAATAGGCCTAAATTCAACAAAATCCACTCAATCTTCAGAAAAGGGGACCGACCGACTAAAAATTTTTATTCGCCCTATCGGTAGGTCTGGTCGAGACATTTCCGAAACTGTGCCGCAATCGGGTCCCCGTCACCGGCAACATCCTCAAAAACGATTAAATAGGCCTAAATTCAACAAAATCCACTCAATCTTCAAAAAAGGGGACCGACCCACTAAAAATTTTTATTCGCCCCATCGGTAGGTCTGGTCGAGACATTTCCGAAACTGTGCCGCAATCGGGTCTCCGTCACTGGCAACATCTTAAAAAAACGATTAAATAGGCCTAAATTCAACAAAATCCACTCAATCTTCAGAAAAGGGGACCGACCGACTAAAAATTTTTATTCGCCCTATCGGTAGGTCTGGTCGAGACATTTCCGAAACTGTGCCGCAATCGGGTCCCCGTCACCGGCAACATCCTCAAAAACGATTTAATAGGCCTAAATTCAACAAAATCCACTCAATCTTCAAAAAAGGGGACCGACCGACTAAAAATTTTTATTTGCCCCATCGGTAGGTCTGGTCGAGACATTTCCGAAACTGTGCCGCAATCGGGCCCCCGTCACCGGCAACATCCTCAAAAAACGATTAAATAGGCCTAAATTCAACAAAATCCACTCAATCTTCAAAAAAAGGGACCGACCGACTAAAAATTTTTATTCGCACCATTGGTAGGTCTGGTCGAGACATTTCCGAAACTGTGCCGCAATCGGGTCTTCGTCACTGGCAACATCCTCAAAAAACGATTAAAAAGGCCTAAATTCAACAAAATCCACTCAATCTTTAAAAAAGGGGACCGACCGACTAAAAATTTTTATTCGCCCCATCGGTAGGTCTGGTCGAGACATTTCCGAAACTGTGCCGCAATCGGGTCCCCGTCACCCGCAACATCCTCAAAATCAATCATCAATTGTCATCAAGAACCTATAAAGCCCCAAAATCCGACTGACTGACTCCCTCACTCATCAATCATCAATCAAGAACCTATATTCAATATTCAAGAACCTATATAGCCCCAATCCGACTGACTGACTCACTCACTCACTCATAGAAATGTTTGGGGTCAAGGAGTGGTCGTAGAGACCTGCGGGTTTTTCCATTCGATTCCAAATTTATTGGGAAAATTGAGAAAAATCTCAGAAGTTGAAAATTTCTCACTGTTCCCGAGCAAACCTACTCAATCTTCTAAAAAGGGGACCGAATGACTAAAAATTTTTATTCGCCCCATCGGTAGGTCTGGTCGAGAATTTCCGAAACTGTGCCGTAATCGGGACCCCGCCACCGGCAATTGGGCAACCATCATCAAGAATCTTTATAGCCCCAATCCGACTGACTCACTCACTCACTTACTCACTCAAAGAAATGTTTGGGGTCAAGGAGTGGTCGTAGAGACCTAAGGTTTTTTTTAATTTCACTTCTATCCTTGTCAAAGCAGTCTTCCGGACCTTGTATGCACCCATTGACTGCCACAGTAGCTAATGCAATACAAGCTATCTATTTGGGCAGTAAAAGTAGCCTTATTATATGGTCAAAAGTAGTTAAATAGAGCTTTCAAAGAAACAGGACATTTACTTCCTTAGAAAATTTGCCTTTGGTTACCATGGACTTACTAAATACTTCGGCACGCGCTCCACACATGCGGGGGTCTGGGGGCGGAGCCCCCAGCGAGCAGCGCGAGTAAGCATTATATACCCTTTGTGGCGGCTGGTGCCTCTGAGGATACTTGAAGATCATTTGTTGACTCATTTGTCACAGCAACACTTTGAGCGCTGTCAACAGTTGCTTCTTGGGAGACAGACACTAAGTTTCGAAGTGGCAAGAGTTCTAAAAACAACAGTTTGCTTTTATGAAGAGCTCCATGCAGAAGTTTCGGAAAAAAAAAAGATTTATCTATTTTTTTGTCGGAACCTTCTGACGGCACACGCTAGTTCTGACAGGTTCTCTGCCGCGACGACACGCGCGGTTTCTGCACGACGGACACTGATAAGGGAGGGGCAGTTCATTACCGTCGCCGTTGTCATTGGCTGGGCGGACGGGTCGGGAGTCACGTGCCGGCAACGGGAAATATCTTTCAATTTCAGTATACTCAATTTGAATTGCTCGTACACTGGGAAAACTACAGCGTAGATCTACGCTTCAAGACTTGACGCCCTCCTTGAAGCGTACAGCTACGCTTGAAGGCAATTCCCTCGTACGGTGCTCGTTATTCCAATTTGTAATGTTAAAGGACCCGTTATGGTATTTTGGGACACACTGTGTTTATTTGGGGAACCAGATAGTGTGTTAGGCATGGAAGGAGGTTCACGAAGATGAAATATCTTCAGTTTGACTCTAGTTATAATCAAATTGACCGGCAAAGGCGGCAAAGGGGCATTTTATGATTTTTTTAGGTAAAAATGAGAAAAACACGTAACGTAAAATGGTGGGTATCAATTAAACTAAGCAAGACCAGGACATGGGACACAACTCAAAATGTTCCTCCTTAGTTGACCTATGAAAAAAAAATTTCAAAATCAATTGCCGCGTCTTTTGAGTAAAATAAAAAAAAATTCCTATTTTGACAAATTTTGTCGAAAAAATTTCAAATTTTTTTTGACATGTCTTTGGGTCAAGGAGAACCCAAAAACGAAGTTTGGTTTGATTTGGACAACCTTTGTCGAAAACCCTGTTTTTCCCACATAGACAGCGTCCTTATCTGCCAAGATGCCCCCTATCTGGGGAATCCCCATGGGGGAATTTCTAGTTTATGCTTCATTTCAAGCGTAACGTCTTCAAGCGTAACCTTATGCTTGGCTCAAGCATAGAGTTACGCTTTAGATTTACCAATGTAGGTCCTTCGACTTCGACGATACTTTGTCCGGAACTCACTTGATCAAGTCTACAAAATTTCAACTCCGGTTCAGCTTTCTAACTATAACCAACACACTAAATGTTTATGTAGAATTTTGTACGTGCCACTTGCACGATTTTGTGCATGCGGGGAATTTGCATAATATCATGCGTGAAAATGCATAAAATTATGCAAATTCACGCACAATTTTTATGCACGACGGCACACAAGTTTAAAATTATGCATCACCACGTGCAAAATTGTACATAAACATTTAGCGTGAATTCACATGTTTCACGTTCACAGCTTTCGGGAAGTGCGATGGTTAGGCGTGTCATTGCACCTTCTTGAGGCCTTCTTGGGTTTTTGGCTATGCTTTTGCTTTCATGACGGGTTTCAGCCGGTTTCTGCACAAACGGAATGCAAATTCCATTTCTTTAAAAAGTGGTGACAGCATTAGTGGTGTCATGCCCCATCGTGAGCCCCGTCCGGTTCCGCACGAGCTGCCCGCTTTAAAGGCCGTGCCCAACACGGACGGCTGCAGTTTCGTTCAAGACGTGCTTCAAGGAAGAGGAACACCGCCAGGAGAATTTTCCAGTCATGAGTCCTCTAATACTACTTCTTGCATTGAGTACAAGGTAAAATCAGGACACGTTGAGGGAAGTGCTTAACCTGTAGCGGGTCAAAGTATGACCGTTCACTGGTGGCTGAATTCTGAGTAATTAAGTCCCGTTTTCAAACGTACACTTTCAGACTGCTATTGGCTTTTTGTCCTTTGTTAAAGAGTTTTTTACACAGCAATAAAAAGTACTATTTCTATATTATTTCTGAATCTATGTAAGATTTTGTTCGTTATATTAACTTAAAGTCAATTTGCTATTGACAAAGAGTCAATACGCAATTGACTTGAAAAATAGTCAATAACTGATGACAATTAAGTCTTTTTAGTGAACAATATTGAACATAGTTACAAAGGAAATTGCTGCTTAAGAAACGGACAAAAAGTCAATAATGGAGAGAAAAAAGTCAATAAAAGTCAAAAGTCTGAAAGTGTAAGTTTCGCCTTCCTGGACGGTGGATTCCCATTCCCATGCAGAACACATGTTCATTCGAGGAACGTCGACATCACATGGAAATGTGACGTAGAGAAAAAGTGACCAAAAGTGTGGGACAAGTTTTGACCATTCATAAAATTTAATAAATTAACACTTCCGCGTCCGCGTCATTTTTCATTGACCAGGAGAGTTAAAAACTGGGCCAGAATGTTTTAACTTGTTTTCAGGAGCACTTCTCAGGATTACGCTAATAATGCTGGAAGTCGTTGACATCTAGAAAAGTTTGAAATCATGAATAGACGACTTGAGCTAGGCGAAAGAAGAGGAAGAAAAGACCTTCCCGAACATAGCGGCCGGCCCCTCATCGGTCCTAGCAACAGACGGCGGCCGTCCGCCATGTTCGGGAAGGTATTTTCTTCCTCTTCTTTCGCCTAGCTCAAGTCGCCTATTATTGTTTTTCTAGATCCCAAGAACTATCAGTAATTTCAAAGTGACCCCGCATACTTACATTTGTATTGATCTTATAATCAAGTTCCAAATCATTTCGACCCGATTGAGATAAGGTTTTCTGACTGACTCGAATTTTAAGACCATAATGTATTTTAGACCAGTTAAGGCAACAAATATTAGAAATACAAGACGGGCGTTACTTGCCGATTTGTTGACCACTTTCATGTTATGTTAACTAACCATTTTACTCTTGTCTCATCTGTAGTGCTCTCGCACAAGACGCGCCCATTGTAAGCATAAAACAGGGTCGCCTTCAAGGCGTACAGGAGCCTGGAGCCCCGGGCACCGCACCCTTCTTCGCCTTCCGAGGCATACCCTATGCTGCCAAGCCTCTGGGTTCTCTCCGCTTTAAGGTCAGTTGCATAGAAAGTAGCTGTTCCCTTCGCACCTCGTTAAAGAGATAGAAGAGAACTACTTTCAGTAATTTTTCTCTTAGTTTTTGACCAAACTGGATGCTTCCAAAGAAAAAATGATGCTTGGATCCGTTCCCTAGTGCACTTCCTTTCATCTTAACTTTCCTTGTGCAGGCACCACGCCCTGCAGCCTCGTGGTCTGGGATTCGAAATGCATCTCAGGAGGGCAGTCCCTGTCATCAAGCCACATTCAACGGGCAACTGCTGGGATCTGAAGACTGCCTTTATCTAAATGTTTATACACCAAAGGTACCTTTTACCTAAGAGTGAATTTATATCACTGAGAGATAGCAAAGTCCAGTGTGCCCATGTTCCTTGGTCTGTGTTCGTGTGTCTGTCCATCTGCACTTCGGAACGGTAAAACCAAATTAGTGTGAAACACTGCGTGAAAATGTGTCGAGACAAAATGTCTTGCCGAAAGGTTCAGTCTAACCTGAAAGCCTCGCTAAACTTTGGTTGTACAGAAACCCTTACATCAAAATGGCCTGATATTTTAGTCCGCCCACTGCTCGGACAGAGTTGTGCATCCAGTCAGAGCGACTATGATTGTTGTACTTGTTTCTTATCCCTGGAGCATTGTCTCTCAATGAATAAAATGAAGTTATTTTGGCACCAAAGTGGCTCTTAAGAATTCACAACATCCCATCCTTGTTTTTTTCAGCTGCAATGCTCATCGCAGCTCCCGGTGATAGTTTTCTTCCATTCGAGTGCATTTATTTTTGGCGACGCTGGGCGAGGTTGGTATGGCCCTGATTTCATCAATAACAACGATGTCGTCTTGGTGCTTCCAAATTACCGACTTGGTCCCTTTGGTACGTGGGAGGGAAAGAAAACCATGCCTTCAGCAAAAAGTATTTTGAATAGTTCAGATCTTTGAATCCCGTGCTCTGATGTTGCAGGCCTTCTAAACCTTGGGACATCAAGCGCACCTGGTAATGCTGCCTTGAAAGATTCCTTGGCGGCTCTTCGCTGGGTGAAGGAAAACATCAAGGCGTTTTGCGGAAATCCGGACCAAGTGACCGTGGCTGGACATTCTGCCGGAGCCACAATTGCCCATGTCCACGCCGTGTCTGCCCGGAGCCAAGGTGACGGACTTTGTTATTTACAGGCGTGATCCTGAATAGACCTCGAGTGCGACCACTGTTGCAAGAGACCTTCAATTTCAGAAAAATCTTGAAAACTGGAAACAAGCGTAAGCTACGATTATGGCCTGAAACGAAGCGGGTTTACTTAAATTTGAATAAGGTACACGGTAAAAACTGTTCCTGGTTTTCCCAGGAACTCCCTGGAAATCGCCTATGACTCTACCATAGGCTTCCTGGGAAAACCATGCTCTGCAAACTGAAGTGTGTACATTGTACACTCTTATTAGAGCATGCTTCCAAGTACACTCTTATTTACAGCATACTTGCTAGGCACACGCTAAAATAGAGTGTACATTGCATGTACACGCTAAATAAAAGTGTACCTACTTAAACTGGCCCATGCTTTTAGATAGGACTAATCGAGTTTGTTTTAGCGTGTACTTGCAAGGTACACACTTACCTAGCGTGTACTTGCCAGGCACACTCTATTTTAGCGTGTGCCTAGCAAGTATGCTGTATATAAGAGTGTACATGGAAGTATGCTCTAATAAGAGTGTACTATGTACACACTTCAGTTTGCAGAGCAGGTACCGTTTTTACCGTGTATATTGCAAACGTGAAGAAGAGAAAGAAGAAGATGCGGCGGTGGGGTAGAACTTAACAGACCCTCATTTGTAGAGGCAGTGCGTCTGCTTGCGAGGCGGGTGCTGCTGAGGGCCATCATGGCCGCCAAACGTAAGAGGGTTTGTGATGTTCTACCCCCACCGCCGCATCTTCTTCTTTCTGTTCTTCACTATTGCAATACCTCATTGAGGATCATTTTGAAACGTCAGATCGAAAAGCGTCAAGGCCTTCATGGCGGTAATCACTCCAAATCGGTCAAAAGGAAAGAATTTTCCAAACTCCACAAAAATTATGCGACCTTTTCTGGGTTGATGTAAACCCCATCCTCACAGGGTATTCACAAAGTTTTTGGAGACCTTCTCATATGAGTGTCCCTTTATCTGCGTGAGAGCCTCCCGGGACGGGAGGCTCTTACTCTTTTCTCTGGGGGTTTATTTTCCGGTACTCTGAATTACGGGGCTAGAGTAACTTGAAATGAAGTTTGGTGTTGGGCACGAAATAAGACCATCTATATTCCAGGACTCTTCCAGCGCGCAATCCTTATGAGTGGCAGTGCTCTTCTGGGCGCATGTTACCAAGACGAGAATATCGAAGCAGCCCGAGAACTGGCGACTATTCTGGGGGCCAAGGACAACAGCACTGCGACTCTGGAGAAGACTTTGATGAACGCCTCTGGATCTGACATCAACGCAGCGCATTACACTATGTTGATGAGAGAGGTTTGTCACTGATGACTCCGGACTCCTTCTCCTGAGTTTTACTGGACTGGATCCACTGTGGCGCCTCGCATAGTGTGCGACTTTTACCTCAAAAGATAAAAGTCGCAGCTTCGAGCAAATTAGGAAATCCCAATTTGCTCGAAACTGCTGCACAAACTCAAGTGTCCGACACAGTACACCCCACCTCGAGCCAACCTGGCATGTACACTGTTGCTGAAATCCCCTACCTTTTGCATGTAAAGCAGGGCAACAGTGTGCTTGCAGGTAAACGCCACCTGGCGTGTACTTGGCACTTGGCAAGCATACTCCAGCGTGGGGTGTACATGCGAGGTTGACTCCAGGTGGCGTGTGCATGACAGGTTGGGTCCAGGTGGAGAGTACTATGTCAACACTCGAGTTTGTAAATAGGGATGTAAAGGCCGGTAATATTACCGGTAAAGAACGGTATAATACGGTAAAATACGGTATTTTACGGAGACCCCGGTAAAATTGGTATTTTTCGGTAATTTTGAAATATTGACTTTAGGATCCTTCTTTGGCTTCTACACGATGAATTAGGACGTAGGGACTGGAAACAGCGCCTCATGGGAACTCTTGGTTTGTATCTGCCCCTCCCGCCGGCCCATGTACGTGTACGTCATCTCTGGGCACTTAAAACAAAGCAAGAAGTCCATGTTCTCTTTTTTTTACAAAACTTGTGGAAATTAAAATCTAACTACACGAGCCAAACCAGAAACTTCTTTGTTGCCAAGATAAGTATAATGAAAAGTAACTTTAAACAGAAAACAGGAAAAATCGAGGGGTCCTATTCAAAAGATCTTATCTGGGCGTTCCCCCCAAGACAATCTTATCTTAAACGCAGATGAATTTCACATAGTTTGATCATTTGATACAGCTACATATTAATGTAATTTGTGAGTATGTTCAAGTAAATCTTAAGATGGAAGATCAAAGAAACCAAAAGTGCATGTAGAAATATGTTTCGCTTGCCGTCGTATTTATTCTGACTGATCAAAATGAATGAAATTTGGGGGCGTTTAAGATAAGATTTTCTTGGGGGGAACGCCCAGATAAGATCTTTTGAATAGGACCCCTCGAAATAGGGGTAGATACTTATTAGGTTAGGTTAGCTGAAAAATGCAATAAACATTGACATGATTGGACACCATGGGGCCGCCGGTGCCTTTCAGGAAAAAGAGTTTTCATGAAATTGAGCCAACTTACATGGACAACGAGAAAAAAGGCGCCATTTTTTGCACTTCAGTATATTTGGGCTGTTAATTCACAGTCAAAAGAACCAGGCAGGGCTTGGAAGTATGTATGAAACGATGTAACCGATACACCCTAACCCCAACGGACCTTTTTTCCCCCTATTTTCACAAGAGGTGCCACAATTACCCCCCAAAGTCAAGAAAAATCAATTTTACCCAACTTTACCGTATAATACGGTAAAGTACCGTATTTTACCGTTTTTTACGTAACTTTGAATCTTACCGGTATTTTTGCATCCCTATTTGTAAAGTGTAATCATTGGCAACTTGAGACAGGGTGTACCGTCAACGGGGGTAACTTGGGACACTTTTTCACGTTTTTTCAACGCCAGAGGCAAGATTCTCAACCCAGACCATTGGATCCCAACTATGTTAAAGTTTGACCCTTTCCCCATGATTTCATGCTTGTCTGGTTCGTTTGCCTCGATTATATCGTTTCCCAGCGGTCTCGTAAGAGTGTCCCAAGTTACCCCATGACCGGGGGTAACTTGGGACAGTAGGTAATTAGCTACGTTCCCATGCATCTATTGATGTTAATGGATGAAATAAATTTAAGTCACATCATGTAGACCAAGAATTCAGGCCTAGGAACTATTGTAGGACCGATATTGGACTATATCTAGGGCTCTACGTAGAACTCTCTTTTCTACTGGTATTATCCAAGCATTTTCTGAAAATTTCAAAATATGGATTACCAGAAGACAAAACTGCTGAGCAAGGCATCTCTTTCCATCATCAGCGTAAAATCCGAAGTTTAAGTTATGTCAGGGACCGGGTCAGTCAACTCCTAGAAGGCTAGGACTGCTGGAAACATGAGGAAAAGACTGTCCCAAGTTACCCCGTAAAATTTCGATTTTTGATAAATTGAAGTGTGGACCGAAGATGGGACAACTATAATCAACGCCCTTTTGCGAACGTTATTGTCTGCGTATGATCTAACAATCCAGAGATACTAAACGGCCAAATCTGCATTTCACTCCTTGCACTAGGGTCAACTTGTCAATGATTTACATATTTTGTCAAAAACCCTATTATGTAGTTTCCTGTTTCTCAAATACTAATTGTGATGTTATGCACCTCTTCCACCTTTCCGCGCGTGCCCTGAGGCCTCTGAAACAAAACCCTGCCGCGGGTTTGACGCTATGAACCCCCGTCGCTGAATGGCAGCACCAACAAGCAGTACAGGGCAGACTGTCCCAAGTTACCCCTGGTGTCCCAAGTTACCCCCGTTGACGGTAAAAGTCTGAAAACGCAAATTTAACACTCCAAATTTATTGGTGGGTGGGTGGTACATGTAGTGTCGTTAAGGCGGCGGTACTTTTCTGAGTACATTTCTGAGGTGGCATGCCAATAGAAACAACGTCAAGAGAACACTGACAACATGTAAGAAAAGCACATGTCAATTCACTGGTAGCCAACGAATGTGACGTCATTTTCGTTGCAGTGTGAATTTTTTCACGTTCGTTTGAATCTGATGTCACATTCGTTTAAACGTGACTTGGCCGTTTAAGTAGGGTGTCACATTCGTTTGAACGTTCAACGAATTCAAACGAATGTGACATATTCAAACGAACGTGACAAAATTCACATTCGAACGAATACACTGCGAGAAAAGAGCACGGTAAATCCTGTACTGATTACTCCAGACTTCACCGTACTTTTTTTAACAGGCAATACCGTCGTTTTTTTTACAGGCAATACCGTATTTTTTTACAGGCAACGCCGTACTATTTTTACAGGGAATCCCGTACTTTTTACCCAGCAATCCCGTACTTTTAATACCTATCAAAAACTACTATAATTTATTTCAGTCGGTCGACCCTCGTTTTTCAAGATTCTGATGTACGTAACTGCTGAAGTCGGACTCCTGGACCCCCCTTCCGACCACTCGTTGAAAAGGTCTTGACGAGACCTATCGAAAGGTGCAATAAAATTTTTCAGTCGGTCGACCCCCTTTTTTCAAGATCCTGATGTGGACAGTTCTTGGGAGCGGCCTTTGTTGGGACCAGATCTGGTCCTTCCTACAGCATGGACTGTGCGAAAGAACGGTAACTTCTGTTAAAAAACTACGGAATATTTTGCAAAACAAGTACGGTAAATACTGTAGACTGTACGGTGGATATTGGTTTTAGAAGTACGGTAAAGTTTGGCAAAAAAATTATCCAGGATTCACCGTCATTTTTTCTCAGAGTGTATGACGTAACATTTGTTGGCTACCGGTGAATGACAGTGAATGAACTTCTTCAGTTCACTCACTCAATTCAATAGAAAAACTCGGGAATGATGTCTTTAGAGAGTTTCGGAAGAAGCATAATACCACATCCGATTCCTATTGTGAAAATGACATGCAGGCCAATCAACTGGTGACTGTTCAGTTCTGATAACGTTCCAGTTGCTTCCGCTCAGACGACGGTAACTTTTGTTTTAGTTATAACCCGACTAAGAAAAATCACCATTTGCAGGCAAGCCCAAATTTGATGTTCAAGTTTGCCATGACATCGGAAATCCCAGCAGTCTCGAACGCAGACCTTCCAGGCTCGCTTTTCATGTCTGTGGATCCTGAGACAATGATTCGAAACGCCGAGGTTAAAAACCCAGTACCAATCTTAGCTGGGACGGCGAAGGAGGAAGGAGATGCCTTATATGCCATAGGTAAGATCAAATAAGGCAAAATATTACACCATAGAAAAAACGCGCTTTTGCGCACAGGCCACCCCACATGAAGGACCGAAACGGTCGATTCCAATGACTGTACTGAAATAATTCTATTCCAATGCGGCGTCTAATTTCTTCTTGTCCAATAATTTTGCTATATTAAAATTAAGCACTGGACCTCGATATCTCCAAACGCTTTAAGACACAAACAATAGCTGAGTCTTTACACGAGCGATTCTCACGTTTCGGGGTAGTTTTGGCGTCTCTGATTTGCCGAAAGTGAGAAATATCCAATTAAGTTTTTCTGATTATTGGGGTCCTGGATGATACTAGAGTTATGGCAATGGTTTATAGTAAAGACCTTGTACTACCTTCCTAAAAACATGAGCCAGAAGGTATTCCCATACGTTTTAGTGGGTGTTTTGATCACGGAAATTACGTTATCACGGAAGTTCCAAAGTGTGAAAATCGGCTTTAACGGCTGACTCGGGCTTGCTGTGGCTTAAAAGTCGTTCCAGGGTCAAATGATACTCTAAGCCCGACATTTCAGCGGAAAATTTTTTCACCTAGTGCTGCTGCAACATTGGGTAAAGAGTGCCACGGAAGTTACAGGTAATTGTTGATACACGCCATTTTATAATGCTCTAGCCCGCTTTGAGACCGTGTACAGCATCTTAGGTTTCCGCGACCCATGCAATTATATCCCAGGGACTCCACTTTGATGGCTTGTGTCATGGAAAGTTAAAAGTTTGGCTTGGGGAGAAGTCCAGAGCTGCCTTTTCGAAATTAGTGCAGTGAAATTAAATACACGGTGGACATTTTTCGTTGCAGCATAAGTACCTTTGAAAGAAGTCTGGCGTATTGGTCTTCGGTTGAAATTAGCTCGAGACATGCCAAACTTCGAATTCCCATCGACAGTTGGCAGCATTTTCGAACCACACCGCCGGCGGAAAGTTCGAGTATGTTCTCTTTGGACAATCACGGAAGTTACATTTAGGGTATTCCAAACGCTACGTAGACCAATCCAACGAACGTGAACTTTTCGAAATGTGTGCGTTTAGTGGGCAATGGCCCTCCCTAACATCAGAAACAAACCCCATGTCGATATCTGCGCTCGTTTGGGCACAGGAGTCAGAAGAAACGAAACTACCCCAAAACGTGGGAATCGCTCACACCGACTTTCAAACCCCTTTCCCCGCGCAAGAACGACATGATGTACCCAAAACGAATCGACAGTCACAAATGCATTCAAGTTTTCAGGAGAGTATACACACTTTAAAAGGGGCAGTAGGGCCATTATTTAAAAAAAAACGATATTTTGTTTTTTGACTAGGTTTTTATTTTGACAATCCTCTTCAAGAATATGACAAGCTTTTGCGGCAATTCGCTTCCGTTTAGCCTCCACGGTCATCTATTTAAATTCATTAACACAGGGTAGGTTAGGCAAGTTCAATCTTTTAGACCGTTTCTCTCAAATGTAGATTTTCAGAGCTTGCGCGCAGGATTTTGAGAAAGCAGTCTGACACACTAAATGTCATGGGACTTTTTTTGTCCCACGGTTTATGCAATTTTAAGCACATCCGGTGGTGATGCAATTTTGTGGCCGCCAGGCGGGACAAATTGTCTAGTGAAAGTACAAGTTGCAGCTGGCGCCGGACAAAATGTGTCACCAGACGGGAACAAAATTGTATCGGCGTCGGATGTGCTTAAAATTGCATAAACCGTGGGACAAAAAAAGTCCCATGACATTTAGTGTGGAGATATCGCCCTGAAAATTTGGTGGGTGTTAGTACTATTGAGGTCCCTCAAAATGACTCTTGGGTTTGGGGATTGAAGCAATGTAACGTTTTTTAAGAAAGCTTTACAATGACAAATTTTAACGTTTAATAACGTTTCATAAAAGTTGAGTTATAAAATACTTCCCGATATGATTTCTGAAAGCTAGAGGGCCATTTTTACTGCTCAAGTATGTAATGTGGACAAATTCTGGATGAAAACTTCCAGCGGGGACTGAGAAGTAGCTCTGCGCGCAGTGATAGTCATTATTGGGCAAATATATTGTGTTGCCTTGTGCCCTTCGCAGACCCTTCTAAAATGACAGTAGATCAACCACTTTAATTTCAAAATTGCACTTAAAGAACCCTCTTTTCATCGATAATAAGTGTTTTTTTCCCCACGATGAACAGAAAGGACTCTGTAACAGTAGGGACTTCGTCAAAATTTCGGCAAAATACATAGGATGTAAATGACGCTACTCGAAATCTCAGAAAGTTTGTCAGTTCTTCACTAGCTAGCAAGTTCGTCACAAAATTGTCTTCAATTGCTACGCAATAAGTCTAGACAGCTTGGATGTGCTCGGGCTGTGTTCGTAACTGGAACATATTTTGATGATTATTTCTGACTGTCTGACGTTATCTTGTAAGTTATTGTTCGTCCTTGAACTGTTTCAGGTTGGGTCAGCCAAGAAATTCAAATGAATGATGTGCGTTTCGTGGCGCGCCTCAACGCCCGCATCGAAGAGGTCATCCAGAGGTTCGCTGCCAGGGTGCCGAAGGCAGTTGCAAAACAATTTGGAGTGCAGAGTGGAACAAGCACTCTCGCGAAACAACAACAAATTCTACAAATGGTCCGAAACGCTTACGCTGGCGGGAGAAGCTTTTTCACTCGAGAGGAGTACATAAAGGTATTTAATCTTGTCTTTGTGCAACTTGTTGGGATTATCTCGATAATCTACTGGCGAATGCTGTAGCCTAACTGGGCGGCACCTGAAGCTAAACAACTAAACCTCTTCTATTCTTTGTTGTGAATGCAGATTGCAGGCGAGTCTCAATTCGATGGACCTCTGCGCAACTATTTGCGCATGTGTCGTGGAAACATCAGTCTGTATGTCACGGATATCAGTACGAACTACAACTTTGTGTCCAGGGGACTCATTCCAATGCCCTTGCTCAACAGTAAGTGACATTTGACACATCACATTGAAGCGGGAGACAGCCGTCGTATTTCTTCGTCAACGACGTTGACCTTTTGGGGTAGCAGTGCTAAAAGCACACTGAAAACTTAAAATTTTGCTTAGTTCACACAGAACTGTCAAGAGTGTACTTGGCACATACCCAAGTTTTCAGTGTAATGCTCCCCCAAACCGTATGTCAGTTTTTAAAATGCATCCTTTTTCGCCGCTGAATTGGAAACATGCAATCTTTACAGCAACAACTCATGCAGACGATTTCGGGTACCTTTTCAAACCCTCAGTGGTGAATCTGAATCAAAACTACGGGGGCTCGAGTGTGGCCGCTCAAGTTTTGCGGTACTTCACGAAACTGCTCACGGACTTCGCCAAAGGAAGGTAAGGAGCAATGGAGGGAAGTGTGGGTAGAATAAGGCAACAGAAAACAGTCTGCGGGGCATCGCTTCTTATTACGAAGAAAACGAAAGTATTGTAAAGTTTACGAAGAAATGCTTCGGCAAAAGCCTTTCTTATACGAAGGATTTCTTTATAATATTGAGCCCTTAATTTTCTTCGTAGTTAAAGGCAGATGTTTCATGACGTTTTTGAGTGTGGCATTATTCCCCAAACACCCTGCGTGTTCATTTAATTTTATTTGTTATATTTGTAAAAATAGCCCTTGCGCTTATCACTGTTATTCAACGAAAGTAACGTCATGATCTGCAGAACGTCGAACGTCAGATTTCGCGCTGATGTTTCACAGACACCATTTACTTACTAAATGTGAAATAAATACAAATACAAGGGAGGTGTACGCCAGATGGGTCTTGTCGTAACAGGCTTCGCGATTCTACGCCAGTTACGACAATCCTCTCCTGGCGTTAACACCTACCTTGGCGCGGCGCTAGCCTGCCTTCGGAGCTGCTTTCCTAGACGTGATCCCCTATAAAAACAGCATTTGGTGATTAAAATCTACACTTTTACATCTACATCTTTTCCCGTCCTTTCCACTGTGAACGCCGTCATCTTTTCTTGCTCAGCGAAATTTCCGGGTCTGTTGCAGGTCGGTGGGTGTGCCAGCCAAATGTGGCGAATCGTCATCACGGTACCGCCTCATTAACAGTGGTTCTCCAGTGGTGGGTGAGAACTACGGCAGTGGCGCGTCGGTTTGGCTCGACATCTTCGACCTACTGAGGAAGAAATAGATTACTATGGGGATTTCCAGCTGGCTGCTAAAACCTGCCTCTTGTCACCACCCGACAAAGACCGCTTGCTTCCGTGAAGGGTCCCCACTAGGCCGAGAGACATGCGCGACGTGCCGCTCGCGGTGATGCTACGTCCTGTTAAAAAGGGTTGAGTGGGGAGGGGAAGCTTATTTAAAATAAATCAGCACTTGCTCCACTACTGTTCACTTTCGGCAGGGGGTGGCAACGGCCTAGGGAGAGCGTGAAGCGATGCTCGCGCCGTCAGTGCAGAGGTTGCGCACTTGTTCGAGATTATGAAAACTAGACTGTGTTTTTCAAAACACTTTGCACCGATAGAAAGGGCTTGAAATTTAGGGTGCATTAGGCTAATTGCCCTTCTCGAAACTCCTTCCTTACCTAATATTAAGGTGCAGGAAAAAAAACCAAAAAACACAAAAATCATAAAATTTAGGAAAAAACTCGAATGCGCCATGTTGGTGTAAATGATTTTGCCCTTGTGTTCGGTTGAATTGGAAGTATCGGGCAGTCTACTAGGCCTAATGCACCCCAAATTTTGTGCTCTTTCGATCTGTGCAAAGCGTTTTGCAATCAATGGCCTAGATCTCACAATCGAAGAAAAAAAAATTAACCCCTGCACCTTACTCGCGCATGGCTTCACGCGCCTCCTAGGCCGTTGCCGCCCCCTGCTTTCGGTCATAATTCCTCGTCCCTCGGGTACTGGTATGAACTGTCTGTTACGGGCATAGGGCATTTTCGGGATGCATTGCACGTCAGGTGCAATATGGCTATCGCATTGCACGTATGGTGCGATATCTCAGCTGTATTGCACCATACGTGCTATAGAGGCATTTTTTTAAGAAGTCCGATCGTGGAACACGACCGATGCCGATTTCCTCCATTTTTTGGTCAAAGGTAGTCCTTGTGGGTCTAAGAAAGGCCACAAATTTTTTGGGCCGAAATATGCACCGTTCAGATTCTATGGGCAATTTTCGTTTTCTCTGACAACTTTTCACATAACTGGTACGAAGACCCTAGGCGAACTCTGAAGTTGGAAAAAAGGCCATTTTTATGTGGTTCGCACGAAAACGTTGTTTTAGAGTACACCTAGGGCCTTCGTACCGGCAAAATCGGATTCCTTGTCCAAAATTACGCCTAGAGAACTTTGACGCACTTATCTATCTCATTTATTACCCGATCTGTGACAAGTCTTCACATTTACCGCAATTCTACTTAAAGTAAATGCCTTACGTGATTGCAAAACTTTAGAAAGCTGCCATTTCCAAACTACTTGAGCTACAGCGGTGAAATTTCACACCAACTCTGACATCACTTGGGACAATATTTAGACTGAATATGGGGCGGAGACGGTCACGCGAAAGGTGGCTTATCTGATCTAAAACTACCCAGAAATGACGGTTTTTCAATTTTTGCAGCGCCACTGCTTTTCACGCGGCGTACACAAACTTTTTATCTCGTAGTATGATTGATTGGTCCTTTATCTATAAAAATCCACTCATCGGATGGCGAAAATCGATGCCGAACACCAAAACCCCAGAAAAGTAAAAACCACTACAAAACCTGAAAAAAAAGTCATAAATCTGTTGGGATGTCCTATCAACAAAGGGCACCGGATTCGTGTTCCTCGCGTGATTTACATGAGATACCACATTTGAGCTCAATCGAGTGCTTAGAGGCCTCAAAGGTGATTTTTCAATTTGGCCATATTGTGAAAAGTTGTCAGAGAAATCGAAAATTGCCCATAGAATCTGAACGGTGCATAATTTCGGCCCAAAAAATTTGTGGCCTTTCTTAGACCCACAAGGACTACCTTTGACCAAAAAATGGAGGAAATCGGCATCGGTCGTGTTCCACGATCGGACTTCTTTAAAAAAAAATGCCTCATACTCATAGCGTTTGGAATCTCAGTGAACTTTTTGACTTGTCGGGGCTGGGGGGCTTCGCCCGCAGACTCCCCTTTCTTCAAGACAGGGGTAATTTGCCTGCAAAAACCTCGGGGTTTTTCGCCGTTTTGTGTACGAGAGGCGCAAACTCAGTGAACCACGCATCGGGACAGCCACGGAGTTTACATTTTGCACCTTTCGGAGGCCTCAGCCATCTGTAAACCTCAGAAACTTTCAAACCCAATAGTGGATCATTTTGAAGCACAAAAATCACCATCTCACTGCGCAAACCGCGTCTTTCTAGGAGGAACCGTTTCGTCACAAAAGGGCAGGGACATCAAAATTGTAACATTTCTGTAGAATGACCCATCTATAAAATCCACTCATCGGATTGGCGAAAATCGATGCCGAACACCAAAACCCCAAGAAAAGTAAAAACCACTACAAAACCTGAAAAACAGTCATAACATCTGTTTGGGTTGTCCTATCAACAAACGGGCACCGGATTCGTGTTCCTCGCGTGATTTTACATGAGATACCACATTTTGAGCTCAATCGAGTGCATAGAGGCCTCAGAAAGGTGATTTTTCAATTTTGGCCATATTATGTGAAAAGTTGTCAGAGAAATCGAAAATTGCCCATAGAATCTGAACGGTGCATATTTCGGCCCAAAAAATTTGTGGCCTTTCTTAGACCTACAAGGACTACCTTTGACCAAAAAATGGAGGAAATCGGCATCGGTCGTGTTCCACGATCGGACTTTTTAAAAAAAAATGCCTCATACTCATAGCGTTTGGAATCTCAGTGAACTTTTTGACTTGTCGGGGCTGGGGGGCTTCGCCCCCAGACTCCCCTTTCTTCAAGACAGGGGTAATTTGCCTGCAGAAAACTCGATTTTTCGCCGTTTTTTTTGTGCTTTTCGGCTATAAAAACTGAACCATTTGAGCTAGGATAGTGAAATTTCGCGTGTGCCGAGCCAAGAACATACCTAATAAGCCTGCAAAATCTCAGCCAGATCGGCCGAGCCGTTCAGAAGGAGTAGTGTACACACACAGACAGACAGACAAAACTTTTCAACTCCACTGGAGTAACGGGCTTCGCTATCGCTCAGCCAACAATTTTAACTAATGTCACACAACTGATCACCGTCAGGGGGAGACCGGCGAGTGGAGGCTCGGAGGGTCGCTAGGCTTAGCTGTCAAGGCCACCAGAAACTATTACGATGTTAGAAAATTTATAACGAGAGATAGCGTTTTATTTTGTTTATTTTTTCCACTTTCCTTTCGGAACTACATTTATTATGAAATATACATAGTGTCCTACAAAAATACATACGTGGCAAGAGTTCGCTAACGTCGTCAGTTCAGAATCAACTTCTGAGATTAACTATTGAATTCAAGTTTTTCTTTTCAATATCAGTATAAATAGTAGGTTGCCAAATCATTTCCGAATTTCGAACATTATCAAAATGCATATCTTTCTCTAAGCTTTTCAATGACCCCATAAGCAAAATCGTCGTCTACTTCCTCTTCTTCGGAAGTAGAATCGTCGCAGTCAGACGCGTCTTGACAGCTGCTGAAGGAACAGCGCTCCGGCGCCCAGTTCTTGTTGTAGACGGCCTTGCTGACGTTTTGTCTCGCCTCCCACACTTGCAGGTCCTCGCGGTCCACTTTCAACCGGGCCATGGCAGAGAGGCCTTTCTCCGTCGCCTGGTGGAAAACGGTACTGACTGTGAAACACTGTTACGAACTTGACTAAACACCCAAGCAGTCGTTTAGTTTCACTCAGGTGCCCCTGAGTTGCCCCTCCCTCCATAACCCGCTCTGCAACTGCAAATGTGGGGCAGGCATGCACTAGAGAACTTGGAACAAAGTGTCCCACGCTTCCAAATGTGGGAAAATGTGTCCCACGTTTGTAAGCATGGGACAAACTGTGTCACACGTCAATGTTCCCTTATTGAAAGAAGCTTATCTGAGCGTTTCCGGGAGAAGAAGTCTATCTTTCCGTTACCGTGTGCAAACGCCGATCTGCTTCGCCAGATCTCAGAAATCGTCGTATTTAAACGTTAGAGCACGGCTTAAGCACTAAACGATGTCGTACATAAAATAAAGATGATAGATGCTCCACCCGGCTTTTTCACACGGAAACAGCAAGAGAGCCTTCTTTTAATAGGGGACATCGACGAGTGTAAGCGTGGGTTCAAACCGGTTCGAACCAAATTCGGTTCGGGTCGACCCGAAGACCCGTTCGGCATTTTCGTCTCGTGTTTCGCGATCCCTGTCAAGACGAACCCAATCGGACCTTCGGTCCAGCCATATCTTGGTTGGACCGAACGACACCACTTACTTCAAAAACGTCCTTGAATTTCTGTTAACAATTTAGACATTAGCTGAGTCCACCCCAGTGCGACACCGATGGTGCTGCTGCTCTGCGGCATCTCTCGGAACCTCCCCACGGTTCTTCCGAACCAACCGATGCAGCGCTCTGCTACCAGGCAAATTGTCTACCAGGCTGTGTCCATACCATTACCCGTGGATTTTTTCTACAGTGGGGTTGCGTACTCAGCTAATCTACAAATCGAAACATGCAGTACATAGCGGCATGCATACATGCCATGTACACGCTAACTGAAGCATACATTTGATGCATAAGGGATAGGGTGTTGCATCAGGAAGTGCTCTACAATCTGAAGTGTGTACTCAGTATGCATCTACAGATGCATACTTATAAGTACACACCTACAGATGCATACCTGTTAAGTATGCATCTGTAGGTGCATACTTGGTTAGTATGCATTAGTAGGTGTGTACTTGTCACCATATAAATGCCCAGTATCAAGTACACATCTACAGATGCATACCTGTCAAGTATGCATCTGTAGATGTGTACTCAGCCAAGTATGCATCTGTAGATGTGTACTCAGCTAGGTATGCATCTGTAGATGTGTACTTATAAGTATGCATCTGTAGATGCACACTGAGTACACACTTCAGTTTGTAGAGTGTGTACATGGCATTGCAATAGTTATTGCGTGCTTGATAGGCATGCGCTAGCAGGAGCGTGCTTGCAGGCATGGTTCAGGTAGAACATACAATGTACGTACGCTTTTCGATTCAAATAACAGGTATGCACCTGTAGATGTGCACTCAGCTAAGTATGCACCTACAGATATGTACTTTGCAAATGCATCTGTAGGTGTGAACTTGCAAGTACGCATCTGTAGATGCATACTGAGTACACCCCTCGGTTTGTAGACCACTGCCGACTGCCAAGTTTCAAGAATAATACCGGGAAGGGAAGTTTCATTACCGAGCATTCCTGGAGTATCAGGTCGGTGAGGTTCGGCAGCGCTCCCTGCGCTATGCCCTTGAAGACGGTGGACGGCACTCTCGCCTCGACGATCCTTAGCCTGGTTAGCTCACCCAGCCGGCCCAGAATAGTGTGGAGGTCGCGGGGCAGCGCCAATAAACTCACAGGACTGCTGCTGCTACCATGGCAGTCAAGTTCCAGTTGGCGAAGCTCAGGGCAATTGTTGGCCACCACCTGTGCAAAGCAAAGGCAAAACATATGTTTTACTAAGAAAATTTACGACCAGCCAAGCTGTTATCAAATTCATATCCACGAAGCCAGAAAGGGATAACTCCATTTCGGCCATGTTTTAGACAAAAAAACTGCAAGCAGAGAAAAATAAAACTGAACGAATTAATGTTATAGATGAAAACAAGTTCAAGCAGCATAAGTTAATTTTCATATGAACATTGTGGAAGTCAGCAGAAAGTGCTGGTTGCACTGCTGTTTCTTTTCGACTTGTCTCTTTTTTCCGTTTAAGGTGAGGTGTGGGTGAAAATTTGTCTCAAAATTGCTTACAATTAATTCTGAATTGAATTCTCTTGATATTTTAATGTGCAATATTGTTCTCTAAACGTCAGTATGATCTAAAGGTCTGTGTTGTGAACTCTTTAATAAGGGGTTCGTGTCACACGGACTGATGTATGTATGCACTTTTTCTGGTCACCCAACACTTACGATTAATGTCGAAGAAATGATTTTTCTACTCTGACCTTCCTCCCTGGAATAGTTCTTTGTGGTCCATGTAACAATGTAACAGAGAGATATTTCAAATAGCTGGCCACTTTCTCAAATCGTTTTACTCAGTGATAAAAAATTTAGAAAAAAACTATTTTTTTTTCAATAAAATAAATTTTATAGCATGCATTTGTGTGTACTTAGTGGACAGTAAGGTTTGCAGTGTTGGTGTTAATCCATTCAAGTATGCATGTACAGATGTGTACACTGAGAATCAAACGCTATGAGCATAGCGTCAATTGGAGCAAAGCGAAAGAATTGAACTTGAAGCGCAATGCCTCCCGCATGGCACGTAAGGTGCAATATGGCTTGCCATTGCACGTATGGTGTGATATCTCAGCTGCATTGCACCATACGTGCTATACTCATATCGTTTAGAATCTCAGTGTACTCAGCTAAGTATGCAGCCGTAGACTTGTATACTTACTCACAAAATCTATGTGTGTACTAAGTACAGTCCTCGATACGCGTGCTAAGAAGCATGCGCCACGAGGCGTGTATTTGCCTATGCATGTCAGGCGTAGGGATGAAGAAAGCTCCTCAAAGTGTGTACTCACTGGGGGCAGCCACATTGGATGTTTAGGAACACAAGATTTCTTCAGGATAAAGATTTCGACCGATATTACGCTCAAAATTTGCTCGTTTTTGACCTTTTTTGTGGGCAAGATTTCTGATTTCCAAAGATTTCTACCGCTCAAGGGGACACAAAATTTCAAGAATGGTTGCCCCCTCGACTCACTGAGTACACACTTTGAGGCCCGTGCTCATTCAAGTACTCACTTCGAGGCGCGTGCTGAGGGAAGCACATGCCTCGAAGCGCATGCTTGTAAGCACGCGTTTCCAGCAGTGTACCTAACACATATATTTTGTGTGTAGCTGTAGACCTGTAGATGCATGCTGAGTACTTCAGTTTGTAGAGCTGGTTCCCTCATCCCACTCTCTTGATCAAGTCTCGGTTCATGTTCGCGAGGTCCCTGTGATGCTCATTTACCTGCATAATACCTCGATGGGCATAGCTGTCCATGCCAAGGGTCAGTTTTCTCAAACGACGGACCACCGGTGAAGTTTCAAAGAACAGATCGAACGACTGGTGCTGATAACGGAAATAAGGGACGTCGATGCCCAGCGTGTGCAAACGTGGGAACGAATTCAGAATCCCGATGTCGCGCCATGGCGGCAAGTTGACCTCCTGCAGACCTGCGCACAGCGCCAGCTCACTGCCCACATCGAACGTGGGGCTTTCGAACGACCAGTGGTCCCAGGTTGACGCGGTCACAGAAAAAGATGTCAACCTGAAAACAAATTAGAATCAGACCATGCCGAGGAAGGACGAGTGGGATACAGGGTCGCCAATGCACTGCACTGTCGCCAAAAGGTACGGAAAATTCTGTTAATTTTTTTGCCAGGATCCCTCGTAGCCCTCTTATCAATATTCTCCGTAGGCTCTTACAATATTCTCCGTAGGGCCGTACAGGCCGTAGGGCCGTACAGGCCGTAGGGCCGTACAGGCCGTAGGGCCGTACAGTATTCTCCGTAGGACCGCACAGTCTTCTCCGCAGGACCTGGAAGACTGTGTATTGTCCTACGGAGAACACTGTAAGGTCCTACACTGCGAGAAAAAGTGTGGATAGCACAACAAATGTACAACAAAAACTGTACAATAAAAGTACAACAGGGATTGCGGAGAGTACAACGAAAATTGTACAAACCACAACGAGCCCTGGACTGCACAGCACTCGTCATGCCGATTCCATTGTACTTTGTGCAACAATTCTTGTACTTAAAAAGTACAATAAATACCTGATAAAAAATTTGCCAGAAATTTGTGTATTTTTGTTGTGGTTATTTCTAGCAGTGTACGGAGAATACTGTAAAAGCCTAGGGAGAGTATTGACAAGAGGACTACGGAGAATTACCAGAAGCTGTTTACAGAATTTTCCGTAGCTTTTCGCCACAGTGTGACAACATCGGATAGGTGGTTAAGATACGTCACGGGACTAGAGGCCCATCCCAGGAACGTGAATCAGCCATAATAAGCGTATTCACGTCGAAACGGATGTAACAAAGTGCACTACAAATTCAAGTGGGTACTAAGCATAAGCATGCTTCAGGTTGCTTTACATGCAAAAGGTAGGGGGCTTCAGCAACAAAGTGCATGCAAGGTTGGCTCCAGGTGGGGTGTACTTGCAAACATGCTCCAACGTGAAGCATGCTACGTACACACTAGAGTTTGTATAGTGCTCCAGCTCCACACTCTAAATGTCTTACAATGAAATTTGACCTATGTTATTCGTATGTTACAGTGAAATCGGCGCAAGCATAATAAGAAGCAATATTCCTTCGTAATACGAATCTTTTTAGCTTTTTCATTGTAAGATACAAAGAAAAACCTTCGTAATACGAAGAAAAACCACCTTCGTATTATGCTTGCGCCATTTCCTTCGTACTATGGGAAATTTCTTCGTAAGACATTTAGAGTGCATAGAACGTAATATTTTGTCACATTCGTTTCAACTATTTTTTCGTTCGTAGAGTACACTTACGTCTCTCTGCACGCTTGGATGAGGTCGCCCGCAACATCGCCGCTCACCCACTTGCCCAGACTCAGGTAACTCACAGGCCCTGTTTGACTGCCTGGGTAAACTTTCACCAGCTGGTTTCCTATGTAAAGCTCTTGGATCCTCTTGATACCATCGAAGAAGCGGAGGGTCTCCACGTCTGGCAGGCATTCCACCCACACCGCCACCCTTATCAGGTGGTCGCTGTAGTGGTCTAGGGTGTGGTACAGTCTGCTTTTATCACATTCCTCAAGTGGTTTTTCTTGCCACACGAGATTTAACACCTGGACAGGAACAGAAAGATTTTTGATCATCTTCTTTCAAGCCCAAATTTTAAGGGGGAGCCAAAGTTCATAGCTAAAAGTGCGCATAGGTTTTAGATCCAACAGGCTGTTAACACATTAAAGCTATAGTCCAGGAAAGTTAGTCTCAAAAAGGCCTTGACCCGGACAAAAATCGCAACAGCTGGGAACTTTCAGGATGTGTTTGGGGGTGTCCTGGGAACATTTCCTGAAAGTTCCCAAAAAATCCCTTCATACGTTCACCCGTGAGGGGAGTTCAAAGTTCGCCATTTTGAACTTTTGCCGCTCACCGGTTCATCGAACATAGTTTCCGAACTATTTGACCTACGGTGACGTGCGACAGCTCAAACTGCTCGTTAAGGATGCATCTTTTGGTTGTATTTATCAGAACGAACGATTTATGCCGTTTACACTGCTAAAAAGTCAAAAAATCAACAAAAATGTGTTTTAACAGTTTTTTGGTTTAACTTTTAACCTGTTTCACGGCCAGATGAGTAGGAATATCGAAAAATGTCTTTCTCTTAACGTTGTAGAGCGGAGTTTTCTAATGCGATTAGCCGCCTCGAACATAGCTCTAAGTGCAAAATTACGCTCTCAGCAGTCTGAACAAGGGCGGAAAGCGTGCTTCGGCGGCACACATACTGCGGGTTGCCTACCCGCCCCTTAGGGCACTTCCCATGCTTTCCGAGACGAGTAAAAAAAATATTGTCGTAGAGCGATGCGGTTTTCGCCATTCGAAGCGCAATGAAATGCAGAATCCAGCCATATATACTTTTGTCGAATTAGTCCAGGCATTTTTTGCCCAGGAACTCGAAAAACTGAAGTTTTCTGTTCAGGAAGTGTTCAAGAATCGACTGTGTCAATCTCAGAGCAAAACAAGAGCCATTTCCAAAAAAATACCTTTTATGACAATCGCAGGAAAGGCTTTGCTGTAAACGCTGATGTAAGATCGAAGCCTGTACGTCAACTAGAACCAAATCTAGACCGCCGACAGTTCTGGACGGCAGAGCTTGGTCGGCCAAGCTGCCTATCGGCGTTGTGGACCAACTTTGAGCGGCTTCTAATTCCAATCCAACGTGCTTACAGGGTCCCCCATTGCTGAGGAGTAGTATTTCGATCGTTCTTGTGCCCTCATTGGAATGGAAACACGACTGGCTACCTCAGTTTAGGCAAAATCCACTCTCAAAGTTGCCGAAATCGTCGACCGATGCCAAAATATCGCCAATCGAGCGGACTTCAAGTAGCTTTTGTGTCCAATCGGGGGGCCGTAATGACACAGTCTGTTCGGGATATTTTTCTCTTTTGCCCCCCTATATATGCCCTGCTTAAGGAACACGACTATCGGCTTAAGTTAAGCCTTGGCCTCTGCTCAAAGAGTGTAACTTTTGCGATTTCAATACTTTTTTCGCTATAATGCAGAAATATCATAAAACTTTGCGCCAAAACTAAAGCCGATAGTCGTGTTCCTTAAGCAGGGCATATATAGGGGGGCAAAAGAGAAAAATATCCCGAACAGACTGTGTCATTACGGCCCCCCAATTGGACACAAAAGCTACTTAAAGTCCGCTCGATTGGCGATATTTTGGCATCGGTCGACGATTTCGGCAACTTTGAGAGTGGATTTTGCCTAAACTGAGGTAGCCAGTCGTGTTTCCATTCCAATGAGGGCACAAGAACGATCGAAATACTACTCCTCAGCAATGGGGGACCCTGTAAGCACGTTGGATTGGAATTAGAAGCCGCTCAAAGTTGGTCCACAACGCCGATAGGCAGCTTGGCCGACCAAGCTCTGCCGTCCAGAACTGTCGGCGGTCTAGATTTGGTTCTAGTTGACGTACAGGCTTCGATCTTACATCAGCGTTTACAGCAAAGCCTTTCCTGCGATTGTCATAAAAGGTATTTTTTTGGAAATGGCTCTTGTTTTGCTCTGAGATTGACACAGTCGATTCTTGAACACTTCCTGAACAGAAAACTTCAGTTTTTCGAGTTCCTGGGCAAAAAATGCCTGGACTAATTCGACAAAAGTATATATGGCTGGATTCTGCATTTCATTGCGCTTCGAATGGCGAAAACCGCATCGCTCTACGACAATATTTTTTTTACTCGTCTCGGAAAGCATGGGAAGTGCCCTAAGGGGCGGGTAGGCAACCCGCAGTATGTGTGCCGCCGAAGCACGCTTTCCGCCCTTGTTCAGACTGCTGAGAGCGTAATTTTGCACTTAGAGCTATGTTTGAGGCGGCTAATCGCATTAGAAAACTCCGCTCTACAACGTTAAGAGAAAGACATTTTTCGATATTCCTACTCATTTGGCCGTGAAACAGGTTAAAAGTTAAACCAAAAAACTGTTAAAACACATTTTTGTTGATTTTTTGATTTTTTTAGCAGTGTAAACGGCATAAATCGTTCGTTCTGATAGATACAACCAAAAGATGCATCCTTAACGAGCAGTGTGAGCTGTCGCACGTCACTGTAGGTCAAATAGTTCGGAAACTATGTTCGATGAACCGGTGAGCGGCAAAAGTTCAAAATGGCGAACTTTGAACGCCCCTCACGGGTGAACGTATGAAGGGATTTTTTGGGAACTTTCAGGAAATGTTCCCAGGACACCCCCAAACACATCCTGAAAGTTCCCAGCTGTTGCGATTTTTGTCCGGGTCAAAGTCTAACTTTCCTGGACTACTAAGTGAGCAGTCTCTTTATTTGGAAAGAAATCGAGGGGTCCTATTCCAAAGATCATATCTGAGCGTTCCCCTCATAAGGCATGCGAATTTCACTCATTTTGATCAATTGGGACGGATACAAGAGTGAGCGGATTATATTTCTACATGCACAGTTACATTGACTTTTCATTCGACAGATTAAATTAAATTACAAATCGTATTGGCTTGTAGCTGTATCGAATGAGTGAAATTCGCCTGCCTTTAAGATAAAGATTCTCTTGAGGGGAACGTCCAGATAAGAGCTTTTGAATGGGACCCCTCAAAATAGCATTAAGATCACTTGTTGTTGGCTTGTACCCTCAACCACCGATTTACTCATTCGACAACAAAATATTGTCGTTGAAGGACTTCATGCGTTCCTGGTTGACTGACACATACATGAGTCATCTTGAATGAAATTCATCTTTCATTACTTGCCAACAAATTTTAGTGAGGATTTCTCAATATGAGCCGTTTTTTGGTCTGTCTACCCAAAAAAGTTTGGAAAAAAGGTTAAAAGTTCACTTTATTCATATAGTCAAAAGTTAAAAATTATGAACCTAGAACAAGAGTTGAATTTGACAATTTTGTCACTATAATCTCTTGTAAACATCTTAAGGATGATCCAAAAAGAATTTCAAGACTTTGCATTCCAATGAAAGACTCAGGTAGATTTGACGGTTTTCAAATTTTTTCCAGCGCCACTGCTTTTTACGCGGGAAACAAAAAGTTTTTATCGGGGAATATGATACTTTGATGCTTTGTCTATTAAACCCACCTATCCAGATTGGTAAAAACCGATGTCGGACATCAAAACCCCAAGAAAAGAAAAAAACCACCAAACTAAACAGGGTGACAGTCAGAACATCTTTTTGATTTGATCCAGGAAGCGGAAGAAGGGGATAACTCCGTTTTGACCACTTTTCAGGAGAAACAAAAAACTGTTAGCAGGGAAAGATAAAACTAATCAATGGAATGCTATAGATGATAACAAGTTCAAGGAGCGTTAGTTAAATTATGAGATGAACATCAGGAGTGTCAGGTCACTGCGTATAGGATTACTAGGACTTATCACTTTCCGTTAAAATGGAAAACAGAGTCATCGCAACTAATATTATCTTAACGAATTGGAATTTGGAGACAAGTCAAGTGGAACTGTAGTCAGGAGAGAGTATTGGTTCCTCTGGTGCATTTTTGGGACCTAGCTCTTTTTTCGTTATGGTTCTTAAAATGGAAGGGGGTTAAGTTGACTTGATTCTTTTTCAAGGATCCTTAACTGAACTCAACATTTAACTAACACTGCTGTCATAACGTAACATAAGACAATGTTCGCTATAGGTTAAGGGTACGGACTTATGAAAGTACTTGCAAAAGTATATCCACACAAATCCGAGACATAAAAAAATAACTTACCCTTTTGAAAAGATGTTAGAAGTTAAGGGTAATAACTTTAGCTCTTATCATAACGTTATGATGCCCTAATGAGGTAAGTTAAGGATCCCTGTTCTTTTTACAGTCGATACATAAAAACACAAGTTGAGTTATCTCATATCAACAATATGTTCATCAGAGTCATGTTGACTTTGGTTGAGTTGTTTCCATTTTCCGCTAAATTCAGGGTGTAAAAGGGGTAAAGTTGAGTTGTATCTTTTTTCAAAGTGGATTTTCTCCTTAACTACTAGGAACTGGATGAAATAATTTGGTGCAATGATTCAAACCATTCTGAGGCACAATTATATTACAAAAACTCAATTTGGAGATAAGTCGAATTATTCCCTTCTTCAGCTTCCTGGATCAATTTGTCCTAGTATCAACAAATGGGCACCGGATTCGCGTTCCTCACGTGATTTTACACAAGATCCTAAATTTTGAGTGCATAGAGGCCTTAGAAGAGCGATTTTTCAATTTTGAAACAATTGAGTAAAAGTTTGTCAGGGAAAACTTAAATTGTCCATAAAACATGAACCATGAATTTTTTGGACCGATAATTTTTGAGACTCTCTAAGGCCTATAAGAACTACCTACGGCCAGAAAAGGGAGGAAATCGTCATCGGTCGGGTACCACGATCGGACTTCTTTCAAATAAATGCCTCTAAGCAAATGCGGTCGAGGGCATCTGCCGCCTCACCCGCCTCGACCGAGAGAACTCGGAGATCTCAGTTTACTGGTCAAAGCAAAGGGCCAATACACTTCAGACGAAAGGTGGAAGAGGTAGTTAGACGGACTAACCTTGACATTCTTCGTGCAGCGCAGGAGGCTGACAGCCGGCCACGTGTCTAACGACAACGTGAGGGTGTGCAGGGCGGGCGCAATGCGTAGCACTCCGTTCTCGTTCAGGCCCTCCACAGCCTGCTCCGTGTTCTTGGCGGTCCTCGGCTCCTCGATGCCCGAAAACTCGACTTTAGTCCAGGCGCGCGAGCTCCGGCTCACAGCGCGCAGCGAGCGGCACACCCAGCCCAGGCGGACCAGATCCGCTGGCCCCAGCCTGTGGCAAATGCGATGAAGGACCAGCTCGGGCAAGAGAGGCAGCGAGTTCTGGGGGGCAAACGATTAAGGTTATTGTAAAGTAAAAAAAAGTGGCTACTTCACATTTTTTTTAAAAATACTTGTGTCAGATGTCTCAATGTAGGGGTAAAAGTTCCATTCTATTCCATAAACTCATACACAAAGAGTAGGGCCCCAACTCCTTTGAGTTTCTGAGTTATGGAGGTTCATGTAAAACCTCAGTCGTTTCTCCCAAATTCTCCTCATGACAAGGATTAGCTACCCAGTCTTCGGATTCTGGCAATTTTATCTATTTTGGAATAGAAAAAAGATAGCGTTGCCGGGTTTTAATATCTGCCTTAGTTTTCCTGTAAAACCAAAAACAAGACCAAAATGGGGCAAAGTCTCTTAAATTTAAAAAAAAAAAATTTTAAGAGGGCCTGGTAAAATAGCTCTTACAGCCTCTTCTCGACTGATATCTTCAAATCTGCCAATGCTATCTTTTTCCTATCCAAAACAAGACAAAATTGCCAGAATCTGAAGACTGGGTAGCAAATCCCTTGTCGTGTGGAGAATTGGGAGAATCGACTTTAAGTTTACGCAAACCTTCATTACTCAAAAACTAACAGGAGTTGGGGCCCATAACTTTGGGAATAAATTCATCCAATAAAAGTTGAGTTTAGACTACAAAATGATCTTCCTGTGAGAAACATTTCTAGGACATGCTAGTTTCACTTTACAGTATCCTTAAGAGGAAGATGAAGCCAAAACAGGGATAAAAGGGCTCTTCAACAAAGTTAAGAGGATGGCATGTGCCTTTCAGCGAAACATTTAACCCTTTCCAAGTAAGACTTCATATTTCCAACATATCTCTACACTGGGACCCGTTTTGAAGGAATAACATTTTCACCAGAACAAAGGTATTAAGATATTTAATAGTTGATCCATGAAGTGGAAGAAGAAGTTAACTCAATTTTCATCATTTTTCAGGAGAAACAAAAAACTGTTTGCAGGGTAAACTTAATCCAATCAAATGAATGAGGCAATTGGATTTTTGTCAAAGAAGCCCAAGAAATAACTGTGAAAATTTTCACTTTGAAGCATCACTCTGTAGTCGCTTTCTGTGATTTAAATCTTTACGTTGGAATGGAGTACGGAACCATATTTACTTAGTTCTCCCAGACGAGGTGGAGTTAGGTGACAGTTCAAGTGGAGCTGAGGTCTGCGTAGAGTCTATATTTTTCTGGCTTTTTTCCAACAAGTGATGTGGAGTTAAGGTTAAGGAAGGTGAAAAAACTATCTTCCATCTTAAGTTAAGGAAGGTAAAAAACTATCTTCCAAAGTATAGGTGGCAGTGCTTTGGTTTTTGGTGATTTAGTTGCTTACTATGAAAAACTTTATAGCCACAGACTGGACTCCCAACTGCCATTAGTTCTTAAGTTATGAGGGTTTTAGTGTTATTTTGGTCGTTTACTACTCCTTACAAAGAACCAAAAAGTTTCCAGAGGTGTGATTTTTATATTTTAAGGCCCAATGGACATGCAAACAGACTAGCAAAACCGGATTTGACGATATATGCATAGGGTAGCTGTTTTTTGTTTTTGTTTTTTTTTTTCCTGAAAATGTGTTTTGATTTGTTTACTTAATTTGGTACAATTTTTTTTTGTTTTTTGAGAAAAGTTTCTGTTTTAAGTTGGAATTTTGGAAATCTGGCTTTGCTGCGAGATACCGTCAACGGGGGTAACTTGGGACACTTTTTCACGTTTTTTTCAACGCCAGAGGCAAGATTCTCAACCCAGACCATTGGATCCCAACTATGTTAAAGTTTGACCCTTTCCCCATGATTTCATGCTTGTCTGGTTCGTTTGCCTCGATTATATCGTTTCCCAGCGGTCTCGTAAGAGTGTCCCAAGTTACCCCATGACCGGGGGTAACTTGGGACAGTAGGTAATTAGCTACGTTCCCATGTATCTATTGATGTTAATGGATGAAATAAATTTAAGTCACATCATGTAGACCAAGAATTCAGGCCTAGGAACTATTGTAGGACCGATATTGGACTATATCTAGGGCTCTACGTAGAACTCTCGTTTCTACTGGTATTATCCAAGCATTTTCTGAAAATTTCAAAATATGGATTACCAGAAGACAAAACTGCTGAGCAAGGCATCTCTTTCCATCATCAGCGTAAAATCCGAAGTTTAAGTTATGTCAGGGACCGGGTCAGTCAACTCCTAGAAGGCTAGGACTGCTGGAAACATGAGGAAAAGACTGTCCCAAGTTACCCCGTAAAATTTCGATTTTTGATAAATTGAAGTGTGGACCGAAGATGGGACAACTATAATCAACGCCCTTTTGCGAACGTTATTGTCTGCGTATGATCTAACAATCCAGAGATACTAAACGGCCAAATCTGCATTTCACTCCTTGCACTAGGGTCAACTTGTCAATGATTTACATATTTTGTCAAAAACCCTATTATGTAGTTTCCTGTTTCTCAAATACTAATTGAGATGTTATGCACCTCTTCCACCTTTCCGCGCGTGCCCTGAGGCCTCTGAAACAAAACCCTGCCGCGGGTTTGACGCTATGAACCCCCGTCGCTGAATGGCAGCACCAACAAGCAGTACAGGGCAGACTGTCCCAAGTTACCCCTGGTGTCCCAAGTTACCCCCGTTGACGGTACGCAAATCAATAAAGAACTTGTGAAACAAAAATCAAGTCTCGACAATTTTTGCTTCTACGCAAGGAGAATTTTTAGTAACGACTAAATTTGTTACATAAACTTCATTTACTCAGAAACTAATGGGAGTTCAGTGCCTCAACTTTGGGTTTAAGTTCATCTTATAGTAAGCAACTAGAAACCTAAATACAAACATGACGCCACAATTATTTTGAAAAATGATGTTTCACATTTTTTCACTTTACAGTAACCCAGTAACCTTAATTCTTTATACATTAGTTTCATAGAGACGCAAGTCTAGTTATCTCATGTTGCCATTTTGTGCAACGGAGTCATGTGGACTTCAGTTGAGTAGCCTCCATTTTCCGATGAAATTTAGACCGTAAAAGGGGTCAAGTTGAGTTTTATCCACTTTTCATGTGGATTTTCTCCTAAACTATTAGGAATTGGGTCAAACAATTTGGTGTAAAGATGCAAAGCATCCTGAGGCACAATAATAAGATAAAATCTCAATTTGGAGATAAGTCGAATTATTCCCTTCTTCTGCTCCCTGGATCAGTTTTGCGTCTGACTCCTTAAAATGGGTCCTTTCCACCCCACTACAACACTGGAAACCGCTGGAAACGCTGCCTCGACTTACTTGACATGTTGTGACGGTTTCAGCTTGATCCTGGCACTCGATCTGAGAAACCTCTTGCTTTCGGCGGACGCACGCTCTGCTGTGCACTAGCCTGTGCTGCACAAGGTGCTTCTCGCTGCAGTAAAACTCGTCTCCACAACGGCTGCATGACACGGTCGCCTTGGCGCAGCAATACACGCATCGGTCCATGTCCGGCCACTAAAAGAGAAAAAAACAACAAAACTTCAGTACAAAGTGGTTGAAGGAAGCCAGAACGGGAACAGCAAACAATTTGTAAACAATGCCCCCCGAAAAAACCTCTCTGAAAATCTTATAAACTATTTCAGCCTGTACGAAGTAAATCAGCTGCACATAACAAAGTAGTATTTTGAGCAAATGTAATCTTACAAAGAAAAAAGTTCGTAATTCACGAACTTTTTCTTCGTATAACTAACTAAATAGATCGTACCTTACATACTCTAAATATTTACAAGTTCTTCACTTTACGTCAACTGAACAACTGAACGAATCCAACCAAACTGATAAACGTACAGTACACGAAAGAAACAAACAAAAATCAAAGAAAGAAAGATAGAAAGAGCAAACATGTGGCTAGAGCATTTCGCCTTTGATTACGAATTAAATCGTAAGCTTCGATCCAAAACCAATAAAAATATCAAGTCAATTCAACCTCCAATGTTGACAGAGGCCTCACCGCCAAAGTGTACCTATAGTTGATTCTTGTTGGTTCACTGACTCACCGCTTAAAACTTAAGACAGAGACGACACGGGCGTGCCGGGGATCAGAGACAGCGCTGGGAGGTCAGCAGCTTTGTTAGAAACCGAATGGCACTCGGACGGAGTATTGCCAGGGCCTGAGTAAGCACTGCGTAACCAAAGCGTGCTCGGAATGCCACTAGGCGCCACCGAGACAAACTCACCGCAGAGCGGCGATGTGAGGAGCTCGCCACTGGAGAGCTCAAGTCACCACTCCGGCGCCGCAAGTCGCACTGTCGGTCGGTCGGGGTCGGGGCGACTTGGGTTCTGGCGGCCCCGAGCCGAGGGGCGCCGGAAAGTCCGTAATCCGCCGGGCGAGTGACGAGTGGCGATCGGCGAGCGGCAGGCCAAATCGCCACTGGTCCCCACCGATTCCGCGAATTCGCCTCCACTGCAAAGCCAAGTTTGGCAAGTTTGCTTGCCACAAATTTGGCAAGCCGTTTTGCATACCAAAAATTGACAAGCTTAGCCCGAAGATGCCACCTACCTTGCCAAAATTTGGCAAGCTTATGAAGATTTCCGACCAAAGCTTGCCAAATTTTGGCATTCAAAACGGCTTGCAAAAATTTGTGGCAAGCAAACTTGCCACTGGCTTTGCATTGTCTCTGCCGCCACTCGGGTCGCCAACCCCTTTGGGCCAGGCTTGCCAGATGTTGCGACTCGAGTTGCGACTCGTCGCCATGTTGACGACTTGATGAGCACTGGGATTCCAAACGCTATGAGTATATCACGTGTGGTGCACTGCACTGAGATATCGCATCATATGTGCGCCGCAGTCATATAGCACCTTACGTGCAATGCGTCCCGAAGATTCCCTGTGCTAATGAATGGGAATGGGGAGGCATTCTCATAGCGTTTGGATTCTCAGTGAGGTCTGGGCGACTTATTTGTCGACTTGAGGTTGATGGCAACTTGATTGGCGACTTGATAAACAGTTTAGCGATTTTTTGTCGATTTGCTCGTATTTGGCGAGAAAATGTCGTTTATAGGCGATTTCCGTCTCGTGGGTTGGCACTCTTGCGGAGCCTTCCCGCGCGGCGCCGCGCGGGGTATTTCCAACAGCGCGGTCGCTTGGCAACGCGAGGGGAGCCGTGCCCGTCGGCCCGACCCGAGCTGGCCAGCGCTTCCAGGGATTGAACCCTGCAGCAGCCCGGCGGCGGGGCAAACCAGGGGGCGGGGAACGCGCGGACAGGCCAGCCAGAGCCACCATCGACCTTGAAACAGAACTTTCAACCCGTTCCCAAATGGCCTGTAAGTAACACGGTTCGGCGCTCGGTGTTAAATAGAAATTGCCGCTCGCTTGACTACATGCTGGTGGCTTATTCCGTAGGCGATTGGTTCTTTTAACACTGCCGCCGGCGCCAACAAGTCCGCTGGAGGGTGCCCCGCCGGCTCGTGGCCGCGGTCAAGGTTGGGGGGAGAGAGAGAGAGAGAGAGAGAGAGAGAGTATTCAACCTCTTCGCCGCCACGGCCTCGCGGTCCTGCCGGCCGCTACCACATCCCGCCCACGATCTCCACCTCGGGTTCTGGCACCTCAAACTCCCTCTCCTAATCAGCCGTCACCTCCATCACCAGTAACCCGAACCGGCTTGACGCCCAGGACGCCAAACGAGGGGTCGTCAACTCACATCGCGCGTGTACGAGGTAATACAATAGTATATGGTAATACACATCCTATATTACCGTTATTTGGCTCATTTTTCATACTTCCTATGCTTTAAGTAGTCTATTCGGTAATATTTATGGATTTTTAGCAGTACATAATATAACAGTAATATAGAGCCTGTGTACGAAGTAATATGCAAGCTGACGACGCCTCGACGCAAAAGACTGCCTACTTTCAGGCGAAATGCCCGACTTTTTGCCTACTTTTCAGGCTGAATCTTTCCAATTTTTCCGAGGCCAGGGAAAAAACGGAAAAAAACACTGATAACATTAAAAAAAAACCAGTGTTTTTTCCGTTTTTTTCCCTGGCCTCGGAAAAATTGGAAAGATTCAGCCTGAAAAGTAGGCAAAAACACTCTTAATCTTCTATAGACATTTTATTCTACATTATGAAAAAAATTTTCTGTGGCTTAGTGATTTTAGAGCGTAACTATAATATAGTAAAAAATCACGGTGTTTTGCTGAAAAAAAATCTCTGTGAGCTGCAGATAATTTCATGAAGGAAAATACAGTATTGCAGACAAATATTTACTACAGCAATAGTAGTTTAATATCATCAGTGGACAGATACGAGAAGTCAATGACAACAGAATATATTGTCTGTGCATACAGTAAAACTATTCTACAACAACAAAGAAAATTCTTTGTGATGCACAGAAAAGTTTGTCTGTAAGTCTACAGAAAAATATTTTGGGATTGTTTGGGAACTTCGATAGTGCTAAAATGGGTTCAATAACTTCTTTATTTCCCATCCAAACCTATGTCATGCCTAGACATTTTTTGTTCGCCTTGTCAATACAAATCAATTGCTGCAAATAAATACCTATTTGGGCCACTTAAATTCACTCATTCATCTTTTACCGTTGGTAAAAAAAAAAGTCCATGGAGATGCTGAGAGTGAATTCACGGTAAAGCACGCAAAATGGCCGTGCAAGCTGGCCGCAGCGAAATGCCGAAGTTATTTGGTACGTAGTGGAAAGAAAGAGCAAATATTGCGAGCGACCTGGTAGGCCTGCAGGCTTGAAAACACGGCCCGATCTTAAGAAATTAGTATTGTTGTGTCTCTGGGTGGTGGGTGAGGGTTAGAGGGGGCGAGTCATGGGTCAAGGAAGGCAACTGGAATTGGAAGGGTTTTATTGGGAGCTTCGGTGCACGAGTACTGGTCGCGGCCGTGGCTGGCAGAGCTCTGGGGCCCGCGGTCACCGGGGTGCCGCCATTTATCGGTTCCGCGACAATGGCGCCGGCTTCAGCCGCGCTCGGGCGTTCGGCAGGTTCGGCCCGCTGCTCGGCTCGTGCGGGGGTGTCGGGCCGGGCCGTCGAGGAGCCAGGAACCCATCAGTATCTGCAGGCCAGTGCGGCCGGGTCCGTATTTTGACCTCCGTGAAGCTGGCAGAACCCAATTTTGCACAATTGATCGGACATGTCTCAAAAAATTGAGCACGAATTGAGCAATCGATTGCACTATACCGTTTTATTTGTGCATGCTCGGAACAGTACTTACAGCGTCTTGCTATTGGGTTCTGCTGGGTTCACGCCAGCAGCGCCCAATTGAGCTACAGCAACGGGACAGGTGCCAGAAAATTGAGCACGAATTGAGCAACCAATTGCACTATACCGTTTTAATTGTTTTTAATTTTAATTTTTTGGCACCTGTCTCGTTGCTGTAGCACGATTGGGCGCTGCTGGTAAGTGTTACCTGGGAAAACGATTGTGGTGGATTATGACCTTCGTTTCAACGCACAATTAAAACGGTATAGTGCAATCGGTTGCTCAATTCGTGCTCAATTTTTTGGCACCTGTCTCGTTGCTGTAGCTCGATTGGGCGCTGCTGGCGTGAACCCAGCAGAACCCAATAGCAAGACGCTGTAAGTACTGTTCCGAGCATGCACAATTAAAACGGTATAGTGCAATCGATTGCTCAATTCGTGCTCAATTTTTTGAGACATGTCCGATCAATTGTGCAATATTGGGTTCTGCCAGCTTCACGGAGGTCGTATTTTGCCTGGCCATGGCTGGTCATGTTATATTGTGCATGGACCATTTCGGCCATTCTGGACCTTGAACGACCAGTGCGGCCTGCCTTAGTTATATCACGGCCTGACCGGCCTGTGGCCGTGATTTGCTCCGGCCATGTAGGCTAACCACAGCACTCGGTGCGGCGGCCAGCGTGGCTCGGCTCGGCGTTGCTCGACTCCAACAAGACCCAGGTGGGAGATGGCAACGTCGAGCAACGTAGTGTTGGTGCGAATTTGCCCACCGCCCTGCTCTCGCTCCTATCGCGCACACTAAATTACCACATACCGGACTTCAAAAACCTTCTGAAAACGAGTCCCCAAGAAGCGCTTCATCTTCTGTACGTCGCCGACCTGAAGGTTGGGGAGGGGTTCGGCGCATTTCGCCGAATCTACACCAACATAGATGTGGGCACAGTGGAAAAGCATCGGCTCCACAAGTCGGTGAAGGAGTACATGCAGGTCCTGTGGACGCAAGCAACTCCAGGGATGGAGGTGTACCAGGATGATGTGAAGGGCTATGGTCTCCACGTCAGAGACAAAACGTGAGTAGAAGCTCTACACACTAAATTCTTATGTACTTTTTAAATGCATAATGACGCATAATTTATGCATAGTTATGCATGCGCAGAAACGTCCATAAGGTATGAATAAAATTATGCATCATTGTGTACATTTTATGCACCTTCCTGCATAAAATGTACACAGTGATGCATAATTTTATACAGAACATATGGACGTATCTGTGCATGCATAACTATGCATAAAAAAGTCCATAAGAATTTAGTGTGTAGAGCAGCACGAAATTAAACATGCACTTCGTAACGCACGGATTTGTGCGCGACAATGCACGACTTCGCGCATGCGCAAGTATGCAGGAAATCGTGCATTTACGCGCACAAATTCGTGCGTTACGAAGTTCGTGTTTAATTTCGTGCATTTGCTCGCAGAAAAACGTACATAGTAATTTAGTGTGCGTCGCGTGTGTGTGTAGCACTCGTATTGGGCCTCGCTCGGTCCCGGCCCTCGGTGTTGTTGTCAATGTTGTGCAGAACAGTGTAGGGACGGTAGTGAAAATGAACGGTGAGGGTGAAGGAGAGGGAAGTGGAAGTGAAGCTAGTGGCGATGTTGACGCCAACGACGCGACGCAGAAGAAGCGGCAGCAGACCTTGTCTGTGGACAGACCATTAACAAGCAGTGTGCCTTGTGCAGGCTTCAATAACTCCGCGGCAGCCGCAGCTGCTGCTGCGGCCAGTGCAGCTTAACTTCAACCCACTGGAGTACAACACCAAAACCAGGCTGCTCAACAGGCACCTGACAATCAAGGTAAGTTTGCACCCTCCTTTGCCACACGCTGTTTTCCCTGCACCTACATTTTTTTGAATTAAAACTTTACCCAGTCTTTCATAGGTCTGCCTCAACCGTTTCCATGGGCAACGTTTCCCGGGGACGCAGTCCAAGAACCAGAAACGCAGCTGAAGTTCACAACTGGCAATTTGACCTGCGCACGATGTGATCTTGAGAAGAGAGATTGCTTTGTCTTCAGTTGTTCCCATTTCCCCTTCTGTCGAGACTCAAATCCTATCAAGTCTTACTCCCGGAATGATTAAATGCCCTGTATGTAAGGTGCAGGTCAACGATGTGAACGTTATCAATCGCCTTGAAAAGGTGAATTAACCGTAAAAAAAAAGGCTTTGTATGGTATTTAATGTCGATAATTTGACATTTCATGTGTTGAATAAAACCCTTTCACATTGAAGTGTTTTTTGTGTTCCCCTCCAATTGCTTTTTATCAGAGTACAAGGTAGGTTTACGCCAGACCGCGTCTTGTCGTAACAGGCTTCGCGATGTCTCGCGGCCTGTTCCTCCAATCCGCGCCTGGCGTACCTACCTTGGCCTGCGGCGCTAGCCTGCCTTCGGCAGGCATTGGCTTGTCCATCGTCGGCTACTTCTTACGTGTTGCATGCTGTGGGGCTCCGCCCCCCAGACCCCCCTTAATTCTAGAAAGAGTTGCTTAATCTACAGATAACACGATCTTGACCCTTGTAACTTTTTAACTTGTCGAGGTTGGGGAGCTCCGCCCCCCAGACACCCCTTTCTTCAAGACAGAAGTGATCTGCCTGCAGAAAACTCGATTTTTCGCCGTTTTTTAGGTGTTTTTCGGCTATAAAACTGAACCACTTGAGCTAGGATGGTAAAATTTCGCGTGTGCCGAGCCAAGGACATACCTCATAAGCCTGCAAAATCTCAGCCAGATCGGCCGAGCCGTTCAGGAGGAGTAGTGTACACACACAGACAGACAGACAGGAAAAATTTTTCAACCCCACTGGAGTAACAGGCTTCGCTATCGCTCAGCCAATAAGACAATATTCAATGAAATGACTGGATAAAACTTGGTGAATTAAGAAATAAGGGGAATCTGATTCTAAAGAGAGAGGGAAATTTTTTCTTGTAAGGTTCAATTTGTTAATAATCAGCACAGAAAGCAGCAGACACAATCATAAAGGGTAATTATTCATGCCCATCTACCCAGAGAACCTACATTTGAAACACTACAACAGTGGTCAGTAATTCATGTAGGCAATGAAGAAGAAGGTGGCGACGGTTAGTCGAGACCGCTGTAACTAATGTCGAATAAGGAAGGGAAGACTACAAGACCCATTCTATCTCAGCAGTAGAAGTTGGCCTACGGGGTCTTGTTATGGACCTGCAACAATTATGAACATAGCATAATTCAGCCACATTCCCCAGACAGGATGATTGGCTGAGCGATAGCGAAGCCAGTTACTCCACTGGGGTTGGAAAACTTTTTCTGTCTGTCTGTCTGTCTGTCTGTTTGTCTGTGTTCACTTACTGTCGTTCCTCGCAGTTCCATCAGTCCACCATCATGGCCCCGACTCCTGACGAGATTATGTCTGCAGTATACTCGCATGGCTGGATAGCCACTCCCTGCCTGGTTTTGGTGAGCCTCACCTCTCCGTCCCTCCCTTTTAGCTGTGGTCCCTCCCTACTGACCTGTTTGTTGTGTTCCAGGGTTGGGGCCCTCGCTGCCCTCCGGGCTGCGGCCCTGGGCCATGGGACTTTACCAGGCCAGTGTCACCGCCACCGGGAAGGCCCACCCTCTGATCATGCTTCTTGATCGAGACGCCGACTGGCCGACTTCCCTCCTCCTGTGGGTAATTCCACGCCAACTTGAACACTCATAAACCTGACGTCGTCCGATTTCAACCAAAATTGGTGAATCGCCACCAATTAGTGTCTAGAATGACCCCCTAAAATGGTTTTGGCCAATAGCCAATAGTTCCGGAGATATAGCACTTCACCATTTTTGGCCATTTTCCAAGTTACAGAAACAGTGTTTCACTTAAGTGCCATTATCTCAGCTCCTATTGGACTTACAGGTCTGATTCTGTGCTCATTGGAAAGGGAATGAAATTTTGCATCAAAATGAGGTACTATTGGGTTAATAGGGCAAAAACTCAAATAAATGTCTTTTTCGATTAAATGTTTAACTTGAAAATGTCGTTTCCAAAATACGTCATCCTGGAAAAAAAAAAATTTTCACCAAAAGGTCTCCTAAGGTGTCTACTTTAATGTCCTAAAGTGCTTCAAAAAGTATTTGAGTCTTGCAGTATTTGCAGGGGAAACCGTGATGAAATGTGCCCAAAAAGTGCACTTTTTTCACTCTTCGCCCAGCCTACGATGGTCCTGTTGCAGTCCCACTCCTTCACCACCCTCAAAACTGTTACTCCTATGCCCAGCATCGATTGGTATGTATCAAAGTAATTGTTTGAGTAAGTATGAGCGCTCAGGGAAGGGGTCAGATCAAATTCCAGCTTAGAACTTTGCGTAACAAGACATCAAATCGACTACTGAGTAACTCCACCCCAAGGTGGACCGAGATCTGGGATTGGGTCACGGATTTGGTTCAAACTTTGTGGGTTCAATAGGTACCACTAGTACCTATCAACCCTTAAAGGAAAGTTGGCTAGCTCAATTAGAACCTGAGATATTGACATTTTTCTAAATTTGAATAATTTAGCGGAAAAATGTCGCTTCCTGATTCTTTTAGGGTAAAAGTTGTTTTTTTAGTTCTGGCTTGTGATTCTTCTTTCTGGTCATAAAAAAAGAAAATATAGGGTGGTGGTAGTCCAAGTTTTGTAGGTTGCTTGGTTTGGCCTACTTGAGCAATTCTGTCGAATTCATTGAAACTTTCATACCCAAAATACTCCACCTTGGATTAGAACCTGGTACGTCTCATTCCACTTCTTTGGTGGCCTATATGGAATTGCTGGTACTAGGAACTAAATAGCAGATGTTTTTTAGAGTAAAAGAAGTAGAATGAGACGTACCAGGTTCTAATCCAAGGTGGAGTATTTTGGGTATGAAAGTTTCAATGAATTCGACAGAATTGCTCAAGTAGGCCAAACCAAGCAACCTACAAAACTTGGACTACCACCACCCTACATTTTCTTTTTTTTATGACCAGAAAGAAGAATCACAAGCCAGAACTAAAAAAAACTACTTTTACCCTAAAAGAATCAGGAAGCGACATTTTTCCGCTAAATTATTCAAATTTAGAAAAATGTCAATATCTCAGGTTCTAATTGAGCTAGCCAACTTTCCTTTAAGGGTTGATAGGTACTAGTGGTACCTATTGAACCCACAAAGTTTGAACCAAAGCCGTGACCCAATCCCAGATCTCGGTCCACCTTGGGGTGGAGTTACTCAGTAGTCGATTTGATGTCTTGTTACGCAAAGTTCTAAGCTGGAATTTGATCTGACCCCTTCCCTGAGCGCTCAGACTTACTCAAACAATTACTTTGATACATACCAATCGATGCTGGGCATAGGAGTAACAGTTTTGAGGGTGGTGAAGGAGTGGGACTGCAACAGGACCATCGTAGGCTGGGCGAAGAGTGAAAAAAGTGCACTTTTTGGGCACATTTCATCACGGTTTCCCCTGCAAATACTGCAAGACTCAAATACTTTTTGAAGCACTTTAGGACATTAAAGTAGACACCTTAGGAGACCTTTTGGTGAAAATTTTTTTTTTTCCAGGATGACGTATTTTGGAAACGACATTTTCAAGTTAAACATTTAATCGAAAAAGACATTTATTTGAGTTTTTGCCCTATTAACCCAATAGTACCTCATTTTGATGCAAAATTTCATTCCCTTTCCAATGAGCACAGAATCAGACCTGTAAGTCCAATAGGAGCTGAGATAATGGCACTTAAGTGAAACACTGTTTCTGTAACTTGGAAAATGGCCAAAAATGGTGAAGTGCTATATCTCCGGAACTATTGGCTATTGGCCAAAACCATTTTAGGGGGTCATTCTAGACACTAATTGGTGGCGATTCACCAATTTTGGTTGAAATCGGACGACGTCAGGTTTATGAGTGTTCAAGTTGGCGTGGAATTACCCCCGTGGCTTCTGCCCCACTTCGGGTTGTTGAGTGAGTAGCCTTTCCGCTGCATCCTGACCTGCGCCCCCACCCCACTGGTGACCTTACCTCTCTTTCTGTAGACTCCCTGAGCGCGGACGATGTGTTACATAACTGGTGTACAAGATGCCTCGCTGAACTCCGTGCCGGGTCCACCTATTCGCCGGCCCTCAGCTTCGCCTCATCCTCCGTGGTCGGGACGTCCATGGAGCCTGGGGCTCCTTCTGCGTCCGGTCTTCATGTCATGATTAGCCCTGTTGCCCCCTTGTCCCCCCCTCCATCTCCCACTTCCCCCCACACCCCCTACGACCCCTCCCAGGCCCCCTACCTGTTTCGGTTTGTACATGAGGACTGCGACATCTTTAATCGCGATGACCCTTGTTACTGCTTTACTATCACTGTGGAAGAGGAGCCTCTGGATGAACTTAATATTGTTTGGCGAGAGTGGATGGAGCACGAGTTTAAGTGCTATTGTGAGGAGCAGCTGCGCCTGGCGGCTGAGCTCCACCGGCCAGAACCCTAATGTGCAGTGTTTGAGTGATTTGCTGTGTGCTATGTTTGAGTCCAATACACCATGATTTGCCCTGTGCCTCTTCGTGTTCTTCATTCCCTTCTTGGCTCCGCTCATGAAACAGAGAGACAGTCGTTAGGCCTGTTCACACCATTAGCCTAGTTACGTGTCATGCATTACGCGTTTGGCGCTTGGCTAGGAGGTGGGCAATTAATTACTAAAAAGCCAGGCATAAAGCAACAAGCATCACACACATGCCACCCCCGTCCCCAGGAAAGAGCGCGTGGAGCTGCCGCCACGATAGATTGGACCTAAGCCATCCTCCCTACCGCCTTTCCCTACTGAGCAAATTTATTTAAGATGACAGGAAAAGGAGCGATACACATCGGCAACTTTGGACCGTCCCGTACATTAAGAAATGTGCGAATTTCACCTATGTTAAACCCTTACGGGATTTGAACCTAGTCTGGGGCAAAATAGATAAAATTTTCGTCATCGGCACCCTCAAAAACGTCAGAAAGAATGCAACAACTCGAATAAAAAGAATGTTCAAAATAAACCCCACTGGGACTTGAACCCGGGGCCAAACTTCTCCGATTCGCTTGAAATTGGCACCGTCGGTTTTGTCTTGTCGCCCTGCTTCCAAAAATACCCCTACATGCCCTCCTGGCTCTATCCGTTGCCGAAATCCTCCTCGACCCCATGTAGACCATGATGCACCTGCAGCAACGCCCTCGGGGCTTGGATCGGATTTGCTGCCACCGGGCGGTTCTTAGGGTCACCTGAGGAGGCTGCATACCAAA